ATGGTGATTTCTGGCTTTTTTCTCTCTGTTTCTCTGTCTTTCTGGCAAGTTCATGTGTCCTATAGCAAAAACAGAACAGACATGTATAGGCCAGCAGGTGGTGTGGTAGAGATAAGGCTCTGGACTCCCACATAGATGACCATGGTTTGAGTCCCAGACCTGGTGGCTTGCTTTCTCTGTCTCTTGTCTCTTTCTCTCGGTCTTTGGTGAGTGCACATGCCCTATAGCAAAATTAAAAAATAATAATAATAATAAAATAAATAATTAAAAAAGTAATGGGGATAGAAGGGAGAACACAGAAAAAATAGAAAAATATACATTCCAGTACACTATGGCATACTTACTATATTTAAGATGGGAAGCCTCATCATCTGGGTAGCACACTTAGCAACCATATTGTATAGCTGCTTTTAAGGCAAAATTTCCCTTAATAAAGTACTGAGTACTTCAATCTCTTTAGAAATTTTCCAAGATGAATCTTTCATTAAATTATATTTTATAGTTAAAATTATAGTGAGACTGTGGTATTTAAATAGAGATCCTTTAAATAAGACCTATTTCAGTTACCATTTTCATAATTAACAAAAAAATAAAAATCTTGGCCACTAAATCAGTTATTCCTAAATTTCAAGGCAGTTTATTAAAAGACACTAATAGGGGCCAGCAAAGTGGCATGTGGTTAAGACACTGGACTCCCGCATGGACAACCACGGTTCGAGTCCCAGGATTAGAAGTTTGAAAAATCACACCAGGTACTGCATGTGTGTGTCTAAAATCTTGAGAGAAGGGAATGCGGCACAGCCATCTCCCCTAGAGGGTGATTTCTCACTGTCCCTCTGTAAGTCTCTGACAAGCACACATGCCCTATGGCAAAAACCTAAAAAATAAAATAAAAACAACATAGTCTATCATTGCACAATATCCTTTACTCTTTTATAGATACGTTTTTAAAACATGACAACATTTGGGAACCAGCAGTTAGCGTAATGGCTATGTTGCTGGACTCCCACGCAGTCGACTGCGGTTCGCGTCCCGAACCCGGTGGCTTAAAACTCACGCCAGGCGCGTGTGCATGCGTGCCCAGGATCCCGAGAGGAGAATGGAGGAGAAGGGATTGCGGTGTGACCATCCCCCTGGGGGGTGATTTCTCGCTTTCTGTCTCTATGTCTCTCTCTGTCTGTCTGGCAAGTGCATGTGCCCTAAAGCAAAAAAAAAAAAAAAAAAAGACAACATTTTAAAGTTCTAAAACACATACAAATAGAAATCAAAGGATGATGCAAATTAAATTCAAGTATAAGTTCTAATATTTTCCTCCTGTGCCCTAATGAATCATAACACACATCTGCTGGGATGTCCTATGCCACATAGAGACTTTTATCCTTTTTCAGGTTGTCTAGGTGCATTATAAAACACAACACAAAATGTGAAGTATAAATGACCAAAGAAAATAAAAAGACTGAGAAATTTGATTATATTCAAATTTAAAACTTCTAATTAAAGATCTCTTATACAAAATTTAAAGGCAAACCATAAACCAGAAAAAGATAATTGCAATTCATATAACCAACAAAAGATTAGCATCCTGAATAATTAAATGACTTCTATAAACAAATTAAAAAGGAAAGCAACTCAGTAGAGAACAAAGGAAGGGAGAAATAATTCATTCAAAAGGAAGCTAACTAAGAAGAAATCAGGGAAACACAAATTAAAACTTATATCATCTCAGTCCCCATTGAATTGCAAAAATTAAAAAGTGTCACTGTACAAAGTTTGAACAAGAATACACTAGTGTGAATATAGATAAAGGCCACTTTAGGAAATCTTAACAAAGTTAAAGATTCTTAAGCCCTTGTTGACAATAACATGTATGTTGATGTGCTTGATTGAGACAATATACAGTGTACTCTGGATGGAAAATCTCATTTTGTATGCTGTAATGATGTACAGTGAATGAACGTAAATTAAAAAATACAAAAAAATATAAAAATTAAAAAAAGTAAAAAAGAAAAAAAAGATTCTTAAGCCCTTAAGCCCTTAGCTTAGCGTTATAGATCTAAATGCAATACTAGAGCAACTATAGAAGAAGACATCTTTATAAATTGTAAGAATAACAATGGAAACAACCTAAATGTCTATCAACATGAAAACAATCAAGTAAATTATAGGTACTTTGTAAAAAAATAAAACTACACAAGCAGCTAAAATAAGTGAAGTATAGCTATGAGAATTAATACACAGAGGTCCTCAAAATGGTCATGGAAAATGTGTTTTATGCACAGCTACACAGATTTCAAGATTTTTTGCACCAAAATGAACTCACATTTTAATTCCAATTTCCACAAGCTTTTTTTTTTAGGAGAAATTTTTGCTATAGGGCACGTACGCTCGCCAGAAAGAGACATAGAGACAGAAAGCAAGAAATTATCCCTTAGGGGGGATGGCCAAGCAGCAATCACTTTTCCTTCATTTTCCTCTCGAGATTTTGGACACACACATGCACACAGGCCTGGTGTGAGTTTGAAGCCACCAGGCCCAGGGCTCAAACTGCAGTAGGCCATATGTGAGTTCAGCAACATAACCATTATGCCATCTGCTAGTCCCGTCCACAAATATTTGAAGTCCCCTGATATATGAGCAAAGTGATTTACAAATACATATTATATTTTTATATAAAACATATAAAATATTATATGTTGTTTATGAAAATGTACATGTATGATAAGAATATTAAAACACACTTAATTCAAGATATGGTTTCCTGGGACCAGCAGTTAGCATAATGGCTATGTTGCTGAACTCCCATGTAGCAGTTCAAGTCCCGGACTTGGTGGCATAAACTCACGCTGGGCGTGTGTGCATGCGCAAGATCCCGAGAGGAGAATGGAGAAGAGACTGCAGCGTGACCATCTGCCCTGGGGGGTGATTTCTCACTTTCTATCTCTCTGTCTCTGTTTTTCTGTGGAGTACACACGCCCTATAGCAAAAAAAAAATCTCTCCAAAAAAAAAATAAATAAAGATATGGTTTCCTTTGTGAGGGAGGAGGGATTAGAATAAGAAAAGGGTACACAAAAACCTCAAAATACAATGAAAAGTTAACAGCTTAAAAACTTAAATAAGTTTGGCATAACATTAATATTCAAAAACAGTAGCTGGTAAGAACAAATTTATTTTTATATAAATTTTGCTAATACGTAATATATAAATATACAACATTTTCTTAATACTCATCAGGGAAAAAAACATACTTTGGAGCAAGCCATGTTTGATTGTAAATCTTGGCTGGAGCAATAACTAGCTTTATAACCTTGCCTTGAGAAAGTTATTTCTCTCTCTAAGTCATAGTGATCTCATCCAGAATGTATAATACAAATTCAGTGACAATATATGTAATGGTCTCAGTGTCTAAAAATGTACTGAACAATAGGCTAGCCTAGCCACATGAGTTTACTATTTGAAATGCGACTTGTCCAACTGAGATGTGCTATAATATACAAAACACTATTGACTACAGACGTAGAAGAATGTACAAAAACTTAACCATTATGCCACCTGCTGGCCTTAAAAAGCATACTTTTTAAACAAATTTGAAGTCAGTCTCACCCTAAAACTGTATAAAGCATGAATTATAAAAATTAACCAAGTTTGGAGCCAGCAGGTGGTGTGGTGGTTAAGGACCTAGACTCTGTACACACCTATGGCAAAACCCTAAAATAAAATAATTAAGCAAAATTCAAATGGTTCCAATTATTACTTCAATAGTGTATGCAATATATTTTATTTTTGGAGAGGTTTTTGCTATAGGGTATGTGCACTCGCCAGAAAGACAGAGGAGAGACAGAGAGACAGAAAGCGAGAAATCACCTCCCAGTGGGGATGGCCATGCCGCAATCCCTTCTCCTCCATTCTCCTCTTGGGATCTTGGGCATGCACGCACACGCACCCAGCGTGAGTTTAAGCCATCGAGTCCTGGACTCGAACCACCGTTGGCTACATGGGAGTTCAGCGACATAGCCATTACACTAACTGCTGGTCCCAATTGCGTATGCAATATTAAAACTATGATTTTGATGTTGAAATACTTACCAGAAGTTTTTGTCTTTCCATCATCAATACCAATAGCTAATGATTCCATCATATCAGCTTTTCTTCTGTGAAATTCAGATGGCAGCATTCTTCCCCTATTGACTTCTCTCTCCATATTTCGTAGTTGCTGTTGTTTGTATCCTCCAGAATTATCTAAACCATACTGTCTCTATTGAACATAAAAACAAATGACTTAATTTTTACATCCCTGTACCTTATAGAGGATGGAAACTTAACTACAATTTTATTTTTTGTGAAAATGTAGGTTGATGGGGCCAGTAGATGGTGTGGTGGTTAAAGCACTAGATTCCCATATGGCTGACCGCAGTTTGAATCCTGAACCTAGCAGCTTGCTTTCTTACTTTCTCTTTGTCTCTCTCTCTAGTGAGTGTGCATGCCCCATACCAAATGGAGGAGAAGGGACTGCAGCATGGCCATCCTCCCTGGGAGGTGCTTTCTCACTTTCCCTGTCAGTCTCTGTCTCTCTCTCTCCCTTGAGCAAGCGCACACACCCTATAGCAAAAACTTCTTTAAAAAAATGGAATTACAAACACACATGTATATGTACACAAGCTATCTGATTTAATAATGGACAACCACTTCTCTATATAAACCATTTTGGCAAGACTCGGTTTCTTGCCACAAGAAAATGGTGAGAAAATGGAGGCTCCTGTCTTTCTGTCAAAGTAGTGTTAAAGCTAGAAGAGTTTTGAACACGACTGTTAATTTTTTCTAGGAAACTTGTCAATCCTTGTTATTTAGTTCCCAGGCTAGTCCATAAAGACTTACTTAATCCTTAAATCAATCAGTCATCCCACAGAGTAAATGAACTATAATTTTATACTCGTCTGAGAATTTCAAATAGTATGGACAAAACTTCCTCTCCTGGGGCCAGCTGATAGTGTAGCAGTAACCCAACACTGTGACTGGAACCCAAATGGGAAGGTCTTGGTTCATGTCTTGGGGCATCCTTGTGCATACCAGGTAAACACATGTGCCCATGATCCAGGCTGGCTAAGGCTGGGAGTGGATCACTGCAAAAGGATCCTGTTGGGGGATCCTCTCTCTTTCTCTCTCTTCTCTGTCTGTCTTATTCATAGAAGAAATAAACAAACTTTATTTTAAAAATAAACTAAATGAGGGACCAGTAAATGACATAACGTTTATGTCACTGGACTCCCAAGCAGTTGACCATGATTCGAGTCTTGGACCTGGTAGCTTAAACCTCAAGCCAGGCGTGTGTACGTTGTATGCCCAAAATCCCAAGAGGAGATTGGAGGAGCAGAGACTATGGCATGGCCATCCCCCCTGGAGGATCATTTCCCACTTTCTGTCTCTCTAACTCTTTCTGCCTCTCTGGCAAGCACATGAGCCTTTTAGCAAAAATCTCTCTAAAAACAAAATAAATTACATGAACAACTGCCTCTATTGAAAAGATTTCTGAGATCTAAACAAATAACTTGCAAAGTTACATAACAACCTCCCTTAAATATTGCAAGCTTTTAGTATTACTAATGTTCAAAATTATATGAAGCAAATACCCCCCCACACACACATACATATACACCTACATGAAAAGCCAATTTCCTTTCTTCCTCTGAATCATGATGGGAAAATATTTTGCAAGTGAGTGAATCACCAATGAGAAAAAAATTGTAAAGTAGATCTCAAAGCATATTTCAAGGAAAAATAACCATATGAGAGATGTCTCATATGCTGTTTAAAAACAACAGCAGTTGAATAAGTCTGGGAAAATTATGATATGTATATATAATACTTGTTAGTATATTAAAGGCTTTGAGAAGTCCTGAAATATGCAAATCTATAGTTTAGAACACTTTCAATCATAAGCTCTTTTTACTTATATACTTTCCTATTAACTATATAAAAACTCTATGAGAATTATAAGATAATATGATACTTTAGTCCACAGATTAGTACTAAAAGAAAGGAGAAACACTGATAAAAACTACATGTATTAAAAATATAATGAATGCTGTCACATCCATTCAACAGATACTAGCATCCAAGATAAACGAAGTCTCAAATTTTTATCAAAAAGCATTTTCTATTAAAAATGGTTCTAATGTACTCTCTAAAATAATTTAAGACTCAGCAGACATTAATTCTAGCTCTAAATTTCACTTTAAGTATTGTATGCCAACACTAAATACTGAGTCTCAGTTTCCACATGTGTCCCATCAGCTTTCACTAATATGAATAAAAGTTTTACCACTTAATAGCTGCCTGACTAAACAAGTTGCTTAACTATTCTGTCTCTGTATTTTCATTCAAAAAAGCAAGGAAGAAGGAGGGCTAAAACAATTTCTTTGTGGATTTGTTGTGATGAATTTGAGATACTATATAGGAAGTGATTACCTCAGTATCAGATCAGAATAAGCATTTATCAATGGTGGCTATGATAAACTATGAAATATATATGAAAATATTTTTGAAAAATAACAGGAACAAAAATATAAGGATGGAATCTTAATAACATACTTGGAAAACAAGAGGAAAAAATAAAAACAGGCTTGGTTCTGTGGGCACAGTGATTAAGGCAGGTAGGTCTCACGACAGACCATGCTATTCAAATCCCAGACCCAAAGGCTTGAGAACCAAGCTGAGCACATGTGTATGTGTGCCCAAAATCCCAGAAAGAGGAAGAGAGGGAGAAGAAGCATGATCATTCTCCATGGGGAGGAGAGTGCTTCCTCTTCCCCCTCTCTGTTTCTCTCTCTCGGGCAAGTGCACATGCCCTCTAGCAGGAAAAAAAAAATTCAACATGTAATTGTCATTAATCTCTGTACCTGCAGCTTCTTAAATTCTTCTTTTTCTTGTCTTGATTCTTCAGATAGCCTTTGTTTGTCTTCTTCCTGTTGGAGCTGTTGAGCCAATTCTAGATCACTAGCACACTGGACTCTATCCATACCTATTGATGTTCAGAGTGAAATAACTGCTGTAATCACAGCTTACTTATTAGTTAATGCATATTTTTAAAACAAAGTAAATTCTATTATTTGTCACTTTTTCATTATTGTGATGTCATGGAACCAACTACTAAATAGAAATTTAGCAGAACTTAGAACCACTTATGTAAGAGAATAAGATCCATTTAAACAAATATTCACTGAGTATCTAAACTGTGACAAGCACTTTTCATTAATTATCTCACTTGGTCTTTATGACAACCTTATTAAGTAGGTATTATTATTTACTGAGGAAACCATAATTTAAAGAGATTAAGTACCACCCTTCATTGATTCTCCTTAACACAATTCAGACTGATTTTTCAAAAATACTGGGGCGGGGGTAAGGATAATAAAGAACATAGTACAGGTATCAGATAATAATTATACTTTTGCCTCAAACTAATGGTGTAACTGCAACATCTCACCCTGCTTCCTCTTTACCCAGTGTGCATTGGTCAGTGGCTTCGGGCCAATAAACTGTGTTATAGACCTTCAAACCGGATGTGTTAATTATGTAACTGAATAATCTTTCATTCATTTCAAACTTCTCAGCCACTGCTACATTTTCCTATTTGGTCCCCTCTTCCATTCTCGGGGATATGGATTCACAAATGGTTTTTCATGCTCCCTGAGTCTACTTACAGTGATTTACTCAGATGGTATCTTTTTCTCATCACTCACAACAGGCTTACAGAACACTGTATGTACTCATGCAAAGCCCATCATAAGTACAGTAAGAAATTATCAGATGTTTGGCTTCAAAAGGGTCACCAGTCCACACTAATCCTTTGTAATCTCGTCCAAAGGAAGATAGCACACCAGCTAGAGTAGTTAGTAGAGAACCAAAGCAGAGGACTATTCCATTTTTACTCCAGTAATTCTCATCTTGGGTTAGGCTAACAGAGCTGGTAAAAGCAAGGCGATAATTGATACCGGTATTAGGATGACTGATACTGAACAGTAAAGACCTCTGCATTCACAGGAGTTATGCATTATTTTATAAAACAGAAATAAAGTAGAACACAATTGGTTCCTCTTAGAGTCTACTTTATATTTTTTCCAGTGGGTTTGTGAAATTCACATAGGATCTTGCCACTTCTAAGGTACCATAATGACTTATCAATGTCACTATTTAAAAAGACATGGTACAGAGGAAAACATTATTATAGAGTCACTATGTAGCCCAATAAGCAATTTAGAAGCTTGGGCAAACAGCTAGAAATGCACTGAGAGGTTTTACAGTTCACGCTCATTTTTTAAAATTATATGTGTCATACCACAGCTTCCTAGTTCAATTTTTGCTGACCAACTGCTAAATTCAGTTACTTCTAGCTGCTGAAGAAATGGCCTCAACTTGTAAATTAAACATTTAAAAACTGCATAGTATTTAAAATTTATTTTCTTACGTGTCTATATCCTCTAAATACTGGTTCTCTGGGGTAAAATGCAGAATGCACGGTCCCATTTGGATGTTAAGTCACAACAGTTCATCCTTTATAATGAAACAACCTCTAAAGAAAAAGTTGTACCTCATTATGAAGTCTTTAAAAGAGCAGATCTATTTTTAAATGATATGATTTTTTCTCATATCACTAATCTAAAAATTAGAGATGTGTCCTGGGAAGTAAAAATTTAATCATGATTTTTTTTTTTTTAATCTTTAAACATATAAACATACCTTGTAGAAAGTTGCTTTCTTCTAAATGCAAGTCAACATGTTCCTGGAGTATATGGTAATTTGTACAAACGAGCCCACACATAGGGCAGTCATAGAGTTGTTGATCACAGTCTGTATTAGAGACATTATTAAGTTGGTTTTATTTTTTAAACTTTTAGCTCTTCACCCTTTGTCAAAGACTGCTACCACCTACTAATCTTAAATAAATAAAAGTTCTTTGTAGTTGGATTTAAATGATACTTTTCTACTTCTAAGGTCAAGATGGAAGACTGAGCATAGCAAAACTTCTATTTCCATTCCACAAACAGAAAATATTAGTAATAAATATTCAGAGCTTTAGTCAAAATAGGAAAAGTATAAAGGAAAATAAAAGTGGAAAGTAGGGGCCAGTCTAGATATGGGCTTCTGGAGCTCAGTTCTCAGCACTGATCAAACTAAGTGGTGAAGTGCCAACTCCAGTATCAGCATAAAGTTTGGAATTGGGATCATGCTGCCAATGTGGGAGCAGAAAATTAAAGAGTTGCATCCATAAGACAGCATTCCAGGCAGGTAGATACAGCTTGCCCAGATCAAAAGATGCAGTACCTCTACAGGACTAAGGCCTAGTGGATAATGGGCACAGAAGAGAGACCCAGAACTGTGCATGTATACAGAGTGAAAGCACTGAGTAATCCATAAATGTAAGCCCTCATCTAGAAGTGGAGAATTCAAACAGCCAGGGTAAAGGAACCATGAAACTGTTTTACTGAAAGTAAACTCTCATAATAAATGAATATTAACATCTGAATTGCAAAACACATTAGGACGTCAAATCCCATGAAAAAAACAGTCCAGAAATCTAAAAACTAAGTAAGTTCCCTGTGAAGAAATGAGACTAGCAGTAATGTTCAAAATCCTCACTGAAATAAAGAAGGAAAGTGAATCTTTCAAAGCAGGACAAAAAGTCGACAAAAAGATAAATGGAAAATTCTGTAATTATTTTAAAAATTATATAATCACTGAAATATAAAACTAAATAGAAAAACTCAAGAGAAAATGAAATATTGAGAAGTATTTACTGAGCAAATATTTCTGAAAGCAGTACTAAGAAGGAAAAGAATATGGCTTCTATAAGTAATACCATGGGATATAAGAGAGGTTTTCAGCCAGTTCTCTACCATAAAATGCCTCAGAGCCCATGTCCAAAGGTCATCTTTTTGGTCATCATATCACTGCAAGCCAGTCCCTTAATCATTTCTAACTAATCAGCAACATTCCTCAATAGTAACTATTGGACTTCATATCCCTGTATACCTTCTTTACCACTAAAAGTCCAAATATCACTGATTAGCCATCATTGTCCAATGGGAACATCCAGGACTAATGCAACCAGCAATACTATCTTGACAATAAATCTATTCTTACTGGTCAACCATGACTTAAAAGTCTTTAAATATCTGGAGTACATAGACTAATCAGCCCCAAGTTATCAACACCAACTCATCTTCTCAAGGCCTACTACTATGTCTTCCAAAATCAGACTATCATCAGACAACTTCTAAACCCATCACTTTGTCTTCTTCCTTTTTTTTTTTTTTTTTTTTTCCTTTGGAGAGTTTTTTGCTGTAGGGCACATGTACTTGAAAGACAGACAGAAAGTAAGAAATCAACCCCCAGAGGGGATGGCCATGCTGCAATCCCTTCTCCTCCATTCTCCTCTAGGGATCTTGGGCACTCACGCACCCAGACCTGGCGTGGACATAGCCATTACGCCAACTGCTGGTCCCTACTTTGTTTTCTTGTCTAACAAAATTGTTTGGTCCATGAGACTCCATTTTCCTTATAGCCCCCAACACAGAGGCTATTTTTCTTTCATAATTTAGGGCCCTAAAAGTAGAAAAGGTGTTTCTTTTGCTCTTTTATCAATTTCAGACCAGTTTTATCTCTTCATTGCTTTTTCAAAAGCCCCATCTTTTTACTAGTCATCTCACTGAAATATAATATCCTATACTCTTAATTGCTATAATTTTCTAAAATCCTGGACTTTATTTCATTGAATGAAGATTTCAATCATACAGGATATAGATAATCTGACAATAAATAATAGGCCATAATTGATATTTATAGAATGTTCCACCCAACAAAGCACAATACACTTTTTTACAATCACACATGGAACATGTATCAATACCAATTATATTTTGAGCTATTAAAACAAGCCTCAACAAATTGCAAAGAATTGATATCAAAGAGTATTCTCTGATTGTAATAGAATCAAACTTGAGTCCAACAAAGTCATACTACAGGACAGTCTAGATGCTAATGGGCAGGTGGAAATAAATCTCTAAAAACTGAACAGAAAGGTTCCTAAACTATTCTCAATGTAGCTGAAACATTTTATATATGCCTCCAAATTATTTTCCAAAACTGTATTTTTATACTGCAACAACAGTAAATGAACAATGTTATAGACATAAACTGGAATTTAAGACACATCTGTAGTAATCTGACCTATAAACCAACTTTTAGAATACCACATATTAAACTGAGAGTACTGGCTCTTATAATTTATAATAAAATGAACACTTTACCTTCTAATGGAGTGTCTAAAAGATTGGCATGCTTTGTTTTCACATGAGTTTCCATATTTTGGCTACATTCCTCTATTTTTCCACAGAATGGACATTCAGGAAGACTATACATGGTTTCATAAATTGATCCTTTTATTTCTGTTAGGCCAGACTGTTTTTCTCCACTTTTTTCAGATTCAGTGAAGTTCTCTGAATAAAAGGCTTCATGTTTTAATGTACCATCCTTAGTCAAGCTTTGTGTGGAACTTTTCAGATGATTAGATGCACAAGCTGAACGAATACTTGCATTAACGTCCATTCTACACGGCAGGGTATTATCCCGGTCATCTGAAGTTCCATACTGTACCATATTTATCCTCTTAAAGTTTCTTTCTAGTATATTCTGTTCAAAATGAGCAGTTTCAATATGAAAACACATTTCATCGTAACTCACACCTGACAACTTGCAAAATGGACAAATAACTTCATTTTCCATGTGAACAACAAGAAGGTGAGCCTTCATATCTGGTTCTGAGGTTACTGTTTCACCACAGATATCACAGGAAAGCATGGTGGGACAGGTAGCTAGAAAAGAACACAATATTACTTTAAGCTTCAAATTAAGAGTTGAAGAAAATCACATTTCAGAATAATGAGTATTTGGTATTTAATGCCGGATTATTTTGATAAAGACATTTCACTATATTGTCCTTTAAATATACATATTAATCAATCCCAACCAACATTTTACCACTGTATTTCAAGCTTGTGGTTTCAAGAAAATAATAATGAAAACAAATAATTTTTAAATAATTCAAAAGTGTGACTGGTCTGAGGAAGAGAAATAAACTTTTAAAAAATTATCCAGATAAGATAAAGAGGAGAAACCTTTATAAATTGATATATTGAAATACAGGATGTTAAACTTTATTATAACAGAAAATTAATGAACGCATCTTAATATTAGCAGTTAACACTATTAGCAGCTTGCATTTAAGTACGATTATTACAATTCTGCACATATGAAAACCCTGGCTCAGAGAAAACCCATTCCAGAACAAGGCTGAAGCCAAAATGCTAAACCAATCACATTTCCACAGTCGTTACTTTCAACCCAAAGAATAAAAGCAGAGTGAAAATAGTAGAAAAGAACACTTATTACAAACTAAAGGGAACTGGATTATAATCTCAGGTTTCCTCATTTTAGGCAAACACCTCTCCCCTCTGAGGCTCAGTCTGTAAAATGGTTAGTAATGACTTTTGGATTTATAGACTAATAAAATACTGGTTACCGACATAAAGACGATGTTAAGAAATTTTTTTAAATGTTAAAAACTGATGACTGCCATCAACCTTCCTACTACAGATCACTGTTCAGCTAAGGACTATTTAAGGACTATTTAAAGCAAGCAAGGGGTGCGGGGTAAGCACAAGACTTTAAATAAGTTTAGCTTTAAGAGACCTCCTTATCCTGTCCTTATTTTCTTGTTTTCTCCAAACGAGAGCATTTAGTCTCTGATTTTAGAAGTTCTCCCGTCCTCCCCAGTGGGAAGAAGGTCACACCTAGAATATCTTCTCTTGCTGTGACTGTGTCACCGCAGGATACAAAAAATGCACTTGAACGTGTTCTCAGAAGTGGGCGGGAGATCCAGGGAGCCAGGGCCCGACTGGTTTCGTGGGGGAAGACGGGGCGGTAAGGGCTGGCCTGCCCCAAGGCCGAGTCTGCCCAAGGTTGCGCGGAACCCCCAGAGTCAGGACATAAAGGCAGCCCAAACACTAACTGGATCGAAGCTTCAGGCGTGGGCACTGAGGGCTGGAATCGTCGGTTCTGGCTGGCCGGAAGACCCAGCAGCTGTCACACTGCGCTCGGCTGGCTTTCCTGTGGGTGCTCCGCCGCTGCTGCTGCCGCCGCCACCATCAGTCCCAGGGCAGAGAAGAGCGTGCGTCGGGCCTAGTACCTCTCCCCGCCAAAAAGACTACGGCCGGCCCTGCCAATACCCAGACATTCACAGTTAACAGAAAAGAGATCGGACTCAGACACCTGAGCCCTACTACCGCATTCAAAAATGCGCTTCCTCACTTTCCCCGGAAGGGAAGGAATCCCGGCATGCTCGACTTCGTGCTCGTCTGAGTTGTAGCGCACTCTGGGAGTCGTAGTCATTTCTACATGCCTTCCATTCCTTGTTTTTGGTCCTCCCATTAGGGTTCTGACTGCTCATTTGCTTGAAAAGAAACTAGGCTCTGATATCTTTAAGACTGTGCATTCGAAGGGCAGGTCTTAGGACAAACACCAATCTATCTTATTGTCTAAGGCTTGGCTGAGTAGACTCTATTCTAATATCAAAAAAACCTCCTAACTGTGCTGCGTAGGTAGAAGATATTTAAGGAGAAGTTTTTTCCTTCGAGATTATAAGATCACAAACATCTCATTTTTTTGTCATTCAGTCCTTGTTTTATTCAATAAACATTTAAAGACTGGAGGAAAATTCTGTTGGGAAAGGAACTACAGCACTCATCAAAAGCAACAAAATCCAGGACATTTGAAGCTTATATTCTGATGATGCAAAAAATAAGCAAGTAAATAAACTGATCGTGATAAGTACAATGAAAAAAATAAAACTGGGTTATAGAGATGCTGACGTTGTTAGAAAAGATTTTTCTGAGGAAATGAGCATGCTGATGAACAAACCTTGTACCTATAGGGGAAAGAGCATATCAGGCAGATAAAATAACCAGAGTGAAGATCTAAGGCTGAAGAAAAAAGCACATTTTATATCCAAAGCATAATATTCAAGGGTGAAAAGTGATGCAGTCAGAGAAGCAGATAGGTGCAAAATCTCACAGACCTTGTAGAAAGCTATTGGATATTTAAATAGGAAGATGTCATGATTTGATCATAAAGAATCTATTTTTTAAAATGATTCTGGGTGTTGCGGTTAAACATGGCAGATTGAATATGTACATTTATATATTTCCCTGTCTTTCAAAATATACTAATATGACAATAGAAGAATAAAAATAAACAGCTAGTAAGATTTTTATTAATTAAACTTAGAAATCTAGAGGAAGGATAGATGAGTAGTAACTAACTTAACTAAGAACAGAAGTAAAGACAACAATAAGAAAAGCAAGACAATTCATACCCCTTCCTTTGAAATCTGGAAGTAGTTGTAAATCAAAGATGAAATACTTCTGAAAAAGATGTTGACACTTGGGACTGAAAAAAAAAAAGAACATTTTGCTGAATGTCTCAACAAGGAGCAGTTAGAACCTCACCTCCAGGTTTCCTTCATCATGAGGTTGCAAAGCAATTCATCTTTCTCTTCCAGAGAGAAGGCTACAGATTTAGTTCATGTAGATAATTAATCAGAGGTTACAAACCTAAAAATGCACAGCTCAGGTTTGGTCAAGGCAGTGGACTGAAAATGGTGAAGAGGAAAAGCTAAATACTGAATTATGAACTCTTTACTCCTTTTTCTTCATTACCTCCTTACATTTTATTTGTGCTTCCAAGGCAGATGATTTGAAAACTCTTCCCTAGAGAAATCAACTGGCCCAGGAAAAAATACCTACGGAGATCAACTTTCTCAAAATTCTCCAACAAAATAGGTACCCATCTTATCACTACATTGGGAGGTCACCAATTAAGGACTAAACAAACTCCACTGTTACACAACTGTAGTAGGTTTCTTTAGTGTCTTATTTAAATATGAATGAATACTCAAGGATCACCAGGCATTTGTATAAAGCCTTTTGCAGGTAAAATAGAAATTAAATCTCTCTCTCTCTCTCTCTCTCTCTCTCTCTCACACACACACACACACACACACACACAAACACACACACACATGAACTCTGAAGAAACACAAAGAGAGAGGGAAGAAAAAAAAAAAGGTTCAGTGGATACAACAATTATTACCCTCAAAGAGAGAATCAAGACATAGGGAACAGGGCCAGCCAGATGGCATGGGGGTAAAGGTGATTGGATCCCACATGGTCAACTGTATGGTTTGAGTTCTGGACCTTGGGGCTTGAAAATATGTTGTGTGTGTGTGTGTGTGTGTGCTCAAAATCCTGAGAGGAGAATGAAAGAGAAAGGATTGTGGCATGGCCACACCCCCTGGGGGGGAGTGACAGCTCACTTTTCCTCTCTATCACTGTCTCTCTCTGATGAGCAAGGCAGTGGACTGAAAATGGTGAAGACGAAAAGTTAAATACAGAATTATGACCTCCATGCTCCATACATGTGTGCCCTGTAGCAAAAAACTAAAATAAAAAAAGAAATTTAAAAAAAGAAATAGTTTTTGGGATTGGAAAAGTAAGATCATAAATTGTCTTTCTGTTTTTCTAAAATACATCGTGACTATATTAGTAGATAGATATAGAGTCTGAAAGATAAAGCTCAAAGAATTTCCAATAAAAGAACATGAGATTAAAAAAAGAAAAAAATCAGATGACAAATTGAGTTTTACATCCAACCTCAAAGGGACTCAGAAAGGACCAACAAGAAAAGAAAGGGGAGGAAAAGAGAGAGAAATGAAGGAGGGAAGGAAGGAAGGAAGTGTTGAAAAGATAGAAAAAGGAGACAGTGGGAGAGAAGTAGGAGAGAAAGCAACTGATAGATTACCTTATGTTTATGACCTATATTGATAGAACTATAGAAGAGGAGGTGCAATGAGAAATGTGTGTGTGTGTGTGTGTTTATGTGTAGGTGTTGGAAGGTTCACGTAGTGTAAACATCTTCATCTTATACAAAAGTTAACAATAGATGATGTCTAAATTTAAAAAAATAAAAATAGTAGTTTAAGTATATGATTTAGAACTATAAACAAAATATCAATACAAAATACTCAAATAAATTGAAAATGGTATTGGGTGGGTGGGGGGAGCAATGAGGGAAGGTCAGAGAGCAAAGGTTAACTTTCATGACAAATTTTGTTATTGAACTTTTTAAACTATGTACTTATCTTACTTGATTAAAATAAATAATAACTTAATTTTAAATTATGCTTCATTCCAGGTAGGGAATAGAGAAGATTGTAAAAGCATCAAGGTGGATAAAGACTTCTCAGGACACAACTACAGCTGTGGAAGCGATGATGGATGTATGCAGATGGTATCAGTACAGACAGACTATGCATAAATGAAGGCTGATTTGAGGGTAAAACCAAAAACCAGGAGGCACTGATAAAAGATAAAGGATGATTTCTAGGCCTTCTAGCTGAATCTTCTGGCTGCATGGTGGTATCATTTCAGAAATAAGGCGCCTGAGATAGGAACAAAGAGCTATGAGTAGGAGTGAAATGGAATCAAGAAATATGTTTTGGCTATCAATCATCAAAATGGAGGTGAGATATATAAATTTGGGCCTCAGGGGAGTCATTGGGACTGGATATTCAAATTTGAAAGAAGGCAGCTGAAGGTACGTGACTCTTAAATACAGAGTGGGGCGATCAGCAGATGACCTAATGGTTACGTTTTTGGATTCCCACATCGTCAACTGAGGTTTAAGTCTTGGACCTGGTGACTTAAAACTCATGCTAGGTGCATGTGCATGCATGCCCAAAATCCTGAGAAGGGAATGGTGGAGAAGGGATTGCAATGTGGCTATACCCACTCGGGGGCTATTTCTTGCTCTCTGTCTTCCTTCTTTTCCAGTGAGTGTACACATCCTACAGCAAAAATCTCTCTTAAAAAATATATATTAAGTGAGTTTGGCCCTGGGCCTGGTGATTAAGGGATCCATATTCCACAAGTTCCAGTGACTTGGAAAGCATATCAGGTGTGTGGGCGTTAATGCCCTAAATTCTGACAGGATGTAAAAATAGAAGAGCAAGGTTGCATTGTGGTTAGGTATCACTGGGGACTTTTTCCTCCTACCCCTCTCTTTCTATCTGTCTCTCTCTCTGGCAAGCACACATGCTTCCTGACCAAAAACAAAACAAAACAAAACAAAACCAGAGTGAATTGTATTGCTTAGAAGTTAATGCAGAAAAGAAAAGTGGCCAGCATTCCAAGGTTGGTCAGAGGAGGCAAACTATGTACGGAGGATGAGAAATAGAAATAAAAGAAGTCTATGAGTTTATCTTTGGAAAACTAAAAAAGCATAGGTGGCAGAATCTGTGGTTCTCTGCCTAGATCCTTGTTCAGGACTGAAGCACTCATTCTGCTACTGCTGAGCCTATAGGCCACTCCAGAACTTGTCCTCTTATAAACAGAGCTGTCTCACTCAATATTAAGCCCTTGTGCTGAGTTTAATGCAGTGATGTCCAATGACTTCTTGATTATGGATTATGAACATTCAATACTTAATTCATGTGAGTCTCTAACCACAACAGGGACAATTCTGAAGGTCTGTACCAGCTCCTACAATTCCCCATGAACATCATAAGGGCTCCGCCCCCATGTTATAATCAAGTCCTAAAGGCCCCACCTTCAATCATCAAAATGGAGGTGAGATATATAAATTTGGGCCTCAGGGGAGTCATTGGGACTGGATATTCAAATTTGAAAGAAGGCAGCTGAAGGTACGTGACTCTTAAATACAGAGTGGGGCGATCAGCAGATGACCTAATGGTTACGTTTTTGGATTCCCACATCGTCAACTGAGGTTTAAGTCTTGGACCTGGTGACTTAAAACTCATGCTAGGTGCATGTGCATGCATGCCCAAAATCCTGAGAAGGGAATGGTGGAGAAGGGATTGCAATGTGGCTATACCCACTCGGGGGCTATTTCTTGCTCTCTGTCTTCCTTCTTTTCCAGTGAGTGTACACATCCTACAGCAAAAATCTCTCTTAAAAAATATATATTAAGTGAGTTTGGCCCTGGGCCTGGTGATTAAGGGATCCATATTCCACAAGTTCCAGTGACTTGGAAAGCATATCAGGTGTGTGGGCGTTAATGCCCTAAATTCTGACAGGATGTAAAAATAGAAGAGCAAGGTTGCATTGTGGTTAGGTATCACTGGGGACTTTTTCCTCCTACCCCTCTCTTTCTATCTGTCTCTCTCTCTGGCAAGCACACATGCTTCCTGACCAAAAACAAAACAAAACAAAACAAAACCAGAGTGAATTGTATTGCTTAGAAGTTAATGCAGAAAAGAAAAGTGGCCAGCATTCCAAGGTTGGTCAGAGGAGGCAAACTATGTACGGAGGATGAGAAATAGAAATAAAAGAAGTCTATGAGTTTATCTTTGGAAAACTAAAAAAGCATAGGTGGCAGAATCTGTGGTTCTCTGCCTAGATCCTTGTTCAGGACTGAAGCACTCATTCTGCTACTGCTGAGCCTATAGGCCACTCCAGAACTTGTCCTCTTATAAACAGAGCTGTCTCACTCAATATTAAGCCCTTGTGCTGAGTTTAATGCAGTGATGTCCAATGACTTCTTGATTATGGATTATGAACATTCAATACTTAATTCATGTGAGTCTCTAACCACAACAGGGACAATTCTGAAGGTCTGTACCAGCTCCTACAATTCCCCATGAACATCATAAGGGCTCCGCCCCCATGTTATAATCAAGTCCTAAAGGCCCCACCTCTTAATACCATTACTTTGAGGGTTAGGTCTCAAACTATGAATTTAGGAGGACACAAACATTCATACCACAGTATTGCCCTAAATCATATATATTATTGCCCTAAATTATATATATATATAATTATAATTTTGATAGGCAGAATTGGGAAAGATGCCAGAAAAGGTCAGATGTTGGACAGAAGTTGCTATGATTGTCATTTTGTATAACTAATGAAGCCAACATCTTGACACCAGTCCTACCTCCAGTTTTCAGCTGGATTGGAAAAGTGAGACCACAGTGCCAGGCAAACAGTAGTCCAGGAGACACTATTACCATTGCTTCCACCATATTTATTGAGAAGTGAGAGTCTCTGGATAGAGGAATCTTCTTCAGGAATGCGGAAACACGTGTAGACATTTAAATAAGAAGCAATGACATTTATTCAGAACCTACAATAAGAAGAGAATCGGTTACCATCATTTGTGTTTCTCAGAGATTTAAAAATAGTGGAGTGGGAAAGCTTTATAGCAGAAAAATGAGAAAGCTTCAGGTATGCCCTAATGGGATGCTGTTGGTTTGGAGAAGCTCTAGGTGGGCTAATTAGAAGCAGGGCATCCTATGTAACTATTTAGGAATGGGTGCATATTTTCTCTAATTGGACTTAAGTTGGAAGTGAGGGAAAAATTAGGGAGGCTGTTGGTTATTAATTAAGTCTTGGCCATTTTGGGCAGACTACTGTAAGAGTTATTGTTTGTCTGACTCCTTCAATTGGTTACTACACATAGGAGGTTGGCTTTGTGGGCTGGTTACTACAGGTTGTGGCGAGCATACTGTTTTTATATATAATCTGATTTTATAATCAGTATCTCAAGATAGAGAGGGAGGAGAGAAGTAAGAAATAAACAGGGTGGCATGGTGACTGAGACAATTAAACCCCTATTGGTACTTTAAATGTCCTGTCTAGCTTTCTCCCTTGTCAAGCTTTTCTTCCCTTCTCAGCTGCAATTCCCAACAGCTAAATAATTCCTTCTCTACTGTTTATTTATCAACTATTGAATATAACAAGCATAACAATTTGTCTCCATGTCTTTTTCCTACCAATAAACTACACTCTTCCTCAGGGCAGGGACGTGTTATTTTTCTTGCATAGGCTGTGCCTGCCATTGCCTCTGGAACATAGTCTTTCAATACTATTTGCTTTACTCCAGGGTGGATTACAGGAGTATGTGCATTAATTGAAAATAGTTTATTAGGAGTTATTCATTTCATACATCGGTGACCCTATTTTTGTCAGAAATCCACAAGCATTATACAACACAAAATTATAAATGGCAAGTTAAAAAGTTTGAGACAAATAGGCAGAGCATGTCCAATAAGATAATGAAACAGCAGCAGCCAGGAGCATCTCTGCAAACTCCATGAAACTGGGATCTTCACTGGGTTCTTCACGGGTGCAGCCCCAATATCGAAAAAAGTGCCCGGCACAAATTAGACCCATGATCAATACTATGTTGTAGGATGAATGAATGAATGTTTAGGTGATCACCTCTGGGGACACGGAAGACTAGGGACAGCAGGGACAGTCTCCGGCTGCAACACGTCCAGCCACCTGCAGGCCGGCGCAGGAGCCAGCGGGGCCTGGGGCTCCCCGCCCTTACTGCTAGTCTGTGGGCCACGCCTCCGCCGCCGCTGCGTGCAAGGGCTTCTGGGAACCGAGTTTCGGGGTCTCGGGGAAGGGGCGCAGGTGGCAGCCATCTTGCGTTGCGAGTCGGCTCGCTACGCTCCACGCTAGGGTACCAGTGCCTGCCCCTCTCCTGCTCCACACAGGCGATCCCCTCGGAAATCAGGGCACCAGAGAATACCACATTAATGGGTAAGTGGGAGTGACACAGGCCAGGTTGGGTGAGCCTGGGGTTTGGCCCCTTTGGGAGCTCTTAGCGTTGGGAGTCACTGCTTTTCACTTTTCCTTGTGGGAGGTTCAGGACATGGCCTTGCCAGGGTGTTCCTCGGGTTTGCTTGCGGGGACAGAGGGCGCGGGGGCGTGGCAGCTGGTCCTTTCCCTTGCAGACGGGAAGGCACGGTGAGTCTGGGTTCTGCAGCCGGCTGGTCCTCAGAAGGAGCCCTAGGAAGCCGGTCTCAGCCTCTGGGCGCTCTGCCTCACAGTGTCTCGGTGCTTGATCTAGCGGGATGTGGCCATTCACTCACTGCTGGCGACCAGCGCCTGTGTCCCGTGGCTTATGGAAATTCCCCGGTGTGCCCAGAGAAGAGGTAGGTTCCAGTCTAGGGGCCTACTGCTGCACCTCCTCCTCCACCTGGACGCAGGTGCCTCGCAGTATGCAGTCCCGAAGCCTGCAAGCCTGGGTTCGACCCTTCTCTCTGAGAAGCTGTCAGCGCCGGTCCCTGATGAAAATGGTGTTCTTGGATAATGTATGAAGAGAAGAACGCATCTGAAAGCTGTGAAATGGCATAGTCATACTTAAGAGTATGACACTAGCTTGTACTCTTAGCTTTTCAAACACTTTAAAAAGACGACAAAAAGACTTCTGACTTGCTCTCAATTACAAAACTCAGTAATGACTCATTTTGTAGGAAACTGGCATGGTAAGCAAGGAACTGTTCTTTCAGAACTCTTCTTTTAGACCTGAGTTCTGCGTCTCATTGTAGGGGCTCCATGGGCACTTCTAATTTTGTTAAGCTTTGTGATTTTATTAACAGGGAACCCAGACCTATTGAAATGAAGGTTATGTTGGCATAAGAAAATCTGTTAACAGATATTAGGAAAATAAATTCTTCATTCAGATTCAAGTTATTCGTCTAACTTCAACATGGTTTTCCCGAGAGCTGGGTAAAAAATAAGCTTATAAATAAAAACAAAAATGTTCTCAGCAACTTTTAATAGTGTGAATACCATTTCACTATATAAAATAAATTTTATGAGACTCCAGCCTTTGAAATATGGTATTTAAATTTAATTTCCAATGAATGAAACGATCCCTTTGGGTAAGGCACATAGAGAATTTTTCTTGGCCTTAAAGCCCCCTTTAAAGCAACTGCAGTGAGGATGCAGGTATTAAATAAGAAGCAGGAAGTTCTACTACAGAATAAAAGGAACAAATGATACATGAATTGTTGGGGCTATACTTTAACAAGTTTACATTGAAACACTTTAATGTGATCGGCTAGCTTAATGTTCTCAGATGTAGTGCCCTTTGGGGCCGGCTAGCTTAATGTTCTCAGATGTAGTGCCCTTTGGGGTGTGGGGAAGAATGGGAACAAGGTAATACTGTCAAATGTAGGAAGAAAATATTAGAATTTCTATTTGGTTATTTTTAAGCTATTTTTAATTTGAATTGTTTTGTGAATTTTACAGTAGAGTAGTATATTAGGATAGTAATGCATATATGAAAATAAATATGTTGAGAATGAATACAGAAGTATATTTTCAGAGGTTTATTTCCATGAACATTTAATTTTGCTTCAATATTTCCTTAAATATTGAGCATAATTCAACAATTAATGTTGACATCCAGTTTGCTATAACTAACTCTCATCTCCTATTTTTTCCTTTTGCAGAGCCTAAGTCCATGAACTGAAACAGATTATATATATATATATGTGTGTGTGTGTGTGTGTGTGTGTGTGTGTGTGTATACGTGTACACTCATATATACATATATAAAATAAAATAAAGAAAAATTCTAAACCTTGTTATTAATAAAGTTCAATTGAGCAGATCCTTCTTCATTTTTAAATGTCTAGAGTGCATGCGCACTCACTAGAGAGAGAGAGAAAGAGAGAAAGCACCCCCCAATAGGCCATGGTAACACCACCATCTGTTCTTCACTTCTCTATCCTGTCAGGATTTAGGCATGCATGTATCCCCTCCCAGCATGTTTTCAAGCCATCAAGGTCAGGATTTGAGCTGTGGTTGGCCATGTGGGATCTGGCTTCCTTAACTAGTAGGCCAAGGGACTGGCCCTAGATTGAGCAATTTCTAATGATAACTATTTGTATGGGCAGACAGTATTGCTAAAATCCATTAAATATGTTAAAGAAGGATTTTAGTCAGGTATAAATGTATTTTAATTACCAGGATATACATGTGTTAACTTCAAAGGAATAACGTACCTTTTAAATCAAAAGTCCTCAACCTATTCCATTTTTCCTTTAGTTTTAACACTAGTGTGATTTGTCTTACTATCTTTAACAGTGACCTGATTACCAAATTGATGCCTGATATGGTAATTGGCTTACTGTGGGCATTTATATTTGCTAGATGAGTCAATGAATAAGTTGAATGACCCATTATAAGTGCAACTACAATTTAAATACTCTCGTATCCCTTGAGTTCCCCTCTCCTGTGCAGGACTCTTATTTTCTTATGTTCTTACTCTTCTTATCTATTTATTTTTTATTTCCTTTCATCTTGCTTTTGTCCACCAAATTGTTAATATCTCAAGGTTTCTTCTTTGCTCATCTTTCTTTTAAATTGCTCTTATATGATATTGAATGATCAATCAGAAAACCTTTCATGAGTTCTGACCCGTATTTTTAATCATCTGTAGGTCAAAGGCTTCTATAGTAAATGTCCTAAATCTCATAAATTTAACTTGTTTGAAACCAAAGTCTGGACCAGCAGGTGTAATAGTGGTTAGGGCAGCTGAATCCCACATGTGACTTATTTTGTGGTTTGAGTTTTGCACCTAGAGGCTTGAAAAATATGCTGGTTGTATGTGTGAACGTGCCCAAAATCCTGAAAGGAAAATGGAGAAGGGATTGCAGTGTGCCATCCCCCCAGGTGGTGATTTCTCACTTTTTCTCTCTCCCACTCTCTCCCTGTCTGGTGAGCACATGCTTCCTATAGCAGAACTCAAACAAACAAACAAAAGAGGCAAACAAACAAAAAGACAAAGTCATTATACATGTATTAAAATGGATAGAGTTAATAACAGCAAGGATAAAAATCTTGACAACTGGATACAGAACAACTGGAACTCTCATATATTCCTGGTAGGAATACATGATGGTATAGTCACTTTGGAAAGTAGTTTGGCAGTTTCTTATAAAGTGAAATATGCTTTTCAAATTACCCATCACTCCTGCTCCTAGATATTTACCTAAGAGAAATAAGAACTAAGGTTTACACAAAGACCTATTGCTATATTTGTAGCAAATTTATTCATAACCGCCAGAAACTAGAATTCACCCAAAAGCCCAGCTGGCAAATGAATAATGTAGTATTTTTATATGGTAGAAATACTACTTAACCTTCAGAAGGGAAAAACTATTGGTTCATGCCAACAACATGAATGATTCTCTCTATGTTAAATAAAAGATGCTGTATTTCAGGACTACATTCTATATGATTCCATTTATGTGAAATTTAGGAAAAAGCAGAATTATGGGGATGGAAAACAAGTCAGTGGTTGCCAGGTGTTGAGTGGGCAGATAATAGCAGCATGAAGAAGCTTCTTGGGAGTAAGGAATAGTCTGTGTCTTGATTGTGATGATCGAACACCTATACTTTTTTTTAGAGAGATTTTTGGTATAGGGCATGTGTGCTCACTGGGGAGGCAGAGAGAGACAGGGCGAAAGTGAGAAATAACCCACCAGGGAGGATGGCCATGCCACAGTTCCTTCTCCTCCATTCTCCTTTTGGAAAAATTGATACATTTATTTAAAAATTTGTAATTCCATTTTCTAAAAATAAAACTAATGTATAAATTTCAAATACAGAATTTGCCTGTACTTTATATATGCCTATAAGATATTTGTATAAATGTTAAAATTTTAAGATATAGTTGCAATAAAACTATTTAAAGTGTACAAGTGTTTCAAAAAAATTATACTGGTGTACTAAAAGCTGGTGGTGTAGTTCTAACTCAGTTCATGACCCTTGTGGCCTTAGTTTTTAGGGCAGTATTTGACGTAAGCCAGACACCAGTAGCATTTGAGATGTGTTTCAGTGCTGTCTATTTCTTGACCTTGTCAGAGGTATAATTTAAAAGATTTTTTTTTATTCAAATAGTTCAGGATTGTTTCCTGACTGATACTGTTTGTAAGATGCATACCACTTCAGAAAGGGTTAATATTGCAGAGTGGAGGGGGTGTAGGTGGGTGAGGAATGCTGTCGCATCTTAGAATCAGTGGAATAAGAATAATAACTTATTTACATCAAAATTTATTATGTGTCTTAAAGGTTATTCTTAAAATATTTAGTCATTTTGCTCCAATTTTCATATGGGAGTGATAGAATGTATTCTTTGTAAATAATATTCAGAATGGGTTTTGTTAGTTTATTTAACATGTTAGCCCTTATTTAGCTGCCATAGAGCAAGCATCTTGTATGGTTTTGCAAGTTTATCTGTGTATTTTTTCTTCTCTTAAGATGCCATGGCTAGCCCAGGAAAAGATAACTATAGAATGAAAAGTTATAAGAATAAAGCCCTAAATCCTCAAGAAATGCGTAGACGAAGAGAAGAAGAAGGAATACAGCTTCGAAAACAAAAAAGGGAAGAGCAGGTAGGTGTTTTAAATATTTGATATTTTCTTTAATAAAAAGTTACTACATAGAGATTTTAGAAGTTTATTCTTGCAAATTTTTAGTTAATTTGCAATAGAAAAATGATTTTAGGAGTCATATCTAGGAATAATATTTGCAAATTCATGAATTTGAGTCTTGTGCTATTTTTTAGTCACTGAGAGGAATGGCTTTTCTATTTTATTGACAAACCTTTTATGTTAATTGTATTTCTGTCCCACTGCTAAAAAATGTTTACTCTTTGAGTCTAGTTAGATTATTTCCATTTATCTTATAAGATTTGCCCCTTAAAAACACATTAACTGTACTTATTCATTGCTTGGAGATTTTTAAAGCTCTTGCACCTAAGTTATAGTCATCTTCCCACGCTACTGTTCTTCCTGTAGTCTCCTTGGCTGGATCTCTTAGCCATCCCTGTTTATACTTTGTATATGTGACAGAAAGAATAGAAAAATCATTTAAGAGAGTGCATCTCAACATTTCTTTACTCAAGGATATACTTAAATTTAGAAATATTTATAAGAGGAGAGAGTAGTCTTCATATATATGGAGTAAAACTTATACATGGAGAGGACTAGCAATGATGAAAATAGAAAAGTCCTGTTTTAGAAATATGATTATAATTTGTCATCGCCCTAGCTGTAATATCTTATATATCATACTAGGTACTCAAAATTCTGTTCAATGAATAATCAGAAAAATAACTGTCCAGATTGAAAATAATATAATGAGGACCAGCCTGTAGCCTACTGTTTAAGGAAGCCGCATCCCACATGGCTATAGACACACATGCACATAGGCCCAAATCCTGTTAGGATCAAGACAAGGAGAGACTGCAGTGTGACCATGCCTCACTGGAGGGGTGCTTAATCCCTCTCTCTCTGATGTGTGCATGTGACTTTTGGCAATGAAAAAAGTGTAATCAGATTTTTTTCTCAAATTTTGATTTAGGAAATGTGCCTATAACTATTTCTTAATGGCCTCACCATGTATTTATCTGCTTATCTATTTTTTTTCATATTTTTTTTAATCCACTCCTGAGTTAATATAAATAGAGGTATCTTTTCCTGAAAACTGTTCTGTATTCCTTGTTAATTGGATATACTAACTAGTAAGATATTATGTTATCTCTCCTGTAACACAAATTTGCTTTTTAATGAAGATTTTCTGAGATCAGCAGATGGCGTAGTGGTTATGTCACTGGACTCCCATATGTCTGACTGTGGTTTAAGTCCTGGACCTCGTGGCTTAAAACTCATGCCAGATGCTTGTGCATGCGTGCCCACGATCCTGAGAGAAGAATGGAGAAGAAAGGATTGTGACGTGGCCATCCCCCCCAGGGGGTGATTTCTTGCTTTCTGTCTCTCTCTCTTTCTCCATCAAGCACACATGCCCTAAAACAAAAATCTCTCTTTAAAAAAATATATTTTCTTGGGACCAGCAGTTAGCATAATGGCTATGTCGCTGGACTCCCATGTAGCCGACCACAGTTCGCGTCCCGGACCCGGTGGTTTAAACTCATGCCGGGCACATGTGCATGTGTGCGTGCCCAGGATCCTGAGAGGAGAATGGATGAGAAGGGATTGTGGCGGGGCCATACCCCCGGTTAAAACAAGTCTTAGATGTCTCATAATCCTGGGTGGGAATATATGCTTATGCAAATGCTGTAAAATGTAAATATGTCCCCTACTTATGGGCTGGCCATTGAGTAAAGACTTGAGATCCAAAGCTGTCTGTATAGGGCAAAAGCTATCCTAGCCTGGGAATATTCATACAGTATTTCTCATAAATACTTTAGGTCTTCCTGGTAAAATGACTGGGAAATAAATACAGATTAAGTATCCCTTATTCAAAATGCTTGGAACCTGTAGTGTTTTGGATTTTGGATTTTTTTGGATTTTGTAATATTTGCATATACATGAGATATCTTGGGGATGAGACCCAAGTCAAAACCCAAAATTTGTTTAAATGTTTTTACACCTCATACACATAGCCTGAAGGTAATTTTATACTATATCTTTGTATTGCAGCATTATTTTTTAAATAATTATTTAATTTATTTATAATTGTTATTATTATATTTTTTAATTTGCTTCAAAGCATGGGTTCTCACCAGAGAGAGACAGAGAAAGAAAGATTAGGAAAGTGAGAAAGCAAACCACCAGGTCTGGGATTCAAACCGCAGTTGGCCATGTGGGAGTTTAGCACTTAACCATCATGCTACCTGCTGGCCCCTATATTACAACGTTTGACAGCTATTTGTCACATAAGGAGAGGTGTGGAATTTACCATTTGCGAAATAACATTGGTACTCAGAAAATTTTGGATTTTGGATTTCAGATTTTGGATTTTCACATTATAAATGCTGACCCTATATTAAAATATCCAAAATTTTAAATGGTAAAAATTTAAATTTGTTTATTTTGTTCACTCAGTTGAAAAATAGAATTTTTAGGCAATTGAATGTTTTATGAATAAATATGTAAAGTGATTTTTTTGTTGTTACAGCTATTCAAACGCAGAAATGTTTCTTTGCCCAGAAGTGATGAATCTATGCTAGAAAGTCCTATCCAGGATCCTGATATCAGTTCTACTGTACCCATACCAGAGGTATATTTTTATAAAAATAGTTTTTGTTATACCTCAATTGTATTTCAGAGATTACATATGCAGCAAATATTATTCATAGAAAATACTTAAATATAAATTTTCTTTTTTGTGTTTTAGGAAGAAGTTATTACTACAGATATGGTTCAGATGATTTTTTCTAATAATGCTGACCAACAGCTAACAGCAACACAGAAATTTAGAAAGCTGCTTTCCAAAGGTAAGAATTATTTTTAGTATGCTTATTTGATACTATATGGTTTTATAGTGGGGTCTTATTTTATTAAATGTTTTCTATTTTAAAACATAAAAGGTTTTAGTTTCTCTTTGAGATATATTTCAGGGCCAAACCCCAGTACACAGGTGGTTAGGTGTTGCTGAGCAATTGGAACCTTTGGGAGGTCTGGGTTTAGATCTTGCTTTGACCTAAATGAATCAGGTATACACAATTCTGGTTGGCTAGTGAGTGGTTAGAGGAAGGATCAGAGTGGTAAGACCCTACTGAGGGGTCTATCTCTTTCTCTCTCATGAAAGTAAGAAGATAATATTTTAGAAAATTTAAATGTAAATAAAATATATTTTAGGTGCAACTGCAATAGTATGCACTGGTTAACACTGCTACTCAGCGAGAGGTCTGGGTTCAATACCTGGCCCACCCTAAAAGGTGGATATGGTGACCCATACTTGTAGTCTCACTTACTTTCAAAGCCGATGCAGGAGGATTACAACAGTGAGACCTATCTAAAAAATAATAAATATATTTTAAAATAAATTCTATTTTAAACATTATATTATCAAAGTAACATGGATTGATTGTAGAGAAATTGCAAAATATAAAAGAATTTAAAGAAGGAAATATAAAAATCATTAATCCTGCTGCCAAGAAATAAGGCTAGAGATACATAGTTTTAAAGTCTTGTTGAAATATTTTTCAGACATTCTTCTTTAAATGGCAGCATATTTTAAAGTGTACATAGAAGATAATAATTTAATCAACTGGACATTCTTTTTCCTCAATTTTTTGATCATCATAAAAGTGCTACAAAAATTGATATATAATCTAAATGTTTTAAAATAAACCTTTGTTAAGTGGGTCAAAGGGAATACATTATTAATTTACATCTTCAATTTGTACAAGTATTCATTTCACCATATTTCTAACACTGAATTATCTTTAGAAAAGAAATAAACTCTTCTGTAACAGTAACTCATGGTATGGCATTTTTTGATAATTACTTTGAATCTTTTTCTTATTTATTGATCCTTTGTAACTCATAATTGCCTATTTATATTATTGGTACAATTTTGTGTTGAATTTATAAGAATTCATTTTATTTTAAGTTTACTTCTTTTATGAGAGAGAAAAAGAGAGAAGCAAGTTCCCATCAACAGGATCCTCTTGCTATGATCCATTCTCATTTTTAGCCTGTCTGGATTAAAGGTATCTGCTCATGTGTCTGGAGTGCTCAGGGAGGTCCAGGTCCAGGAATTGAACCAAGGGCCTTTCCCATGTGAGTCCAGTTGTACTACCACTGTACCACCCCTTCACCCTTATAAGAACTCATTATTAAATAAAAATTTAAACTTTAGTTTGTCCTATGTTTCATTGATAGAATTTATAGAATAGAAATCCTATTTACATAGAAATGGGTGAACTACTAAGTTGAAAATGCTTTTGGCATAGCTGCTTTATTATCCTAACACATGAAGAATGAAAAAAATCATGTAATCATGTTAGCATAGATTATGAAACTTTTACCTTTGCTTTCTTATTGTAGTACAAGTTCATAAGTACATTTTACTTTTGTTTTTCATTCTTCATCACTCAAGTTAAAAGTAATTTAGCAGTGTTAGGAAATCCTATATAATCAAGATTGGTTTCTTCTTTCTTCCTCATCATAATTCATGGTTTTTGTTTTTGTAGTTGGGACAGTTTTTTGAGTCAGATTAATATTTTTATAATTTTTAAAATTATCATTCTCTTTCAAAATTTCTTTTTGATGTATGCCTTTACATCACCTAATTAACGGAATTACATTAGATTTAATTATGCTTAAATGTTTTAGAGTTGCCATCGGTGTTTCCATAGCACACTTCTCCATTATTAAATTTTAAATTTTGACTGATCTTTTATTGAGACAGATTGTTGCTTGAAAGATTTTCTTCTCCCTTCTCTTTTCTATGAAAGTAGCGTTGATATGATTCCTTTTAAGTCTTTACATGTCTGAGTAATATCACTTTGATGTCTTTGAATAAGTTGTCTGGAATGAAAATTCTTTGATCAGAGAGTTTATCCTCATTTGCTCTGATTCTTCCAGGTATGCTCTTTCTGTTAAACTGTAGGATCTTTTTTACAGAGGCAGTCATTTTTTCTTGTTTCTTTGTAGTTGGGATTATGCTTGCGCAAGTTGGTCATATAGTGGGCATTTCAGTTACTTTTTGTTGAATGACATGAGCTCCTGCCAAACCTCTAAGGCCTGAAAGAGTATTAGATTCACTATATTTTTACTTAATCTATCAGCATAGAAACATGAGATAGCAGATTGAACTAGAATTGGAAGCAGAAACAGCAGGAAATTTTGTCTCTTTGGAAGTATTGTAATTAGTATTCTTTAGTGTTGGCACAAGGGAGAAATAAATATGCTTCCAGCTACCTTAGCTTCAGATTTTCCTCCTCTAATTCTTTTGCAAGAGTATTCCATTTATTCCCCTCACATCATCCTGTTTTACAATCCCAAATTTGCGGAAACTTCTTCAGAACGTTTTTCCCCCTTTGTATGTGTGGTGTAGGTAGACAAGATTTCTCTATATCAGGATCTTGCCTAAACTTCCCAACTAATTAGAACTTCAGGCACACCTACACCCAGCTTTATAGGGTGGTCTGGCAGTTGAACACAGGTCACCCATGTGGCCTCAACCTGCAAATGTCTGGTACTTGATTTATGACCTGGCCTCTCCAAAACTTTTTTGCTGTGTTTAACTCTAGCTTCGGTTTTAGCATTAAAGCAGATATTTGTCGGGACCAGCAGTTAGTGTAATGGCTATGTTGCAGACTCCCATGTAGTCGACAGCAGTTCGAGTCCCAGACCCAGCGGCTTAAACTCATGCTTAAACTCATGCTTAAACTCATACCATAAACCTCTCCTAAAAAAAGCAGATATTCCTCTATGTTGCTTCTATTTACATTGATGTAAAATTTTACCTATAATAGTCACTACTTTATAAGATGATATAGACTGTTGTTACTGTTAACTTAATGCTACTAATAATTTATATTAGATTAATGGATGATTCAAGTGTATTTTATTGCATCCATTTAGATGAAGGTAACCATAAATGTGTTGCTTTTAATTCTCTAGGAAAAGACCTTATGTGGGTTCTTATCTTTATCTTTATATATCATATCTATGTCTATATTTACCTACATATGCAGATATCATTGATAATATCAGTGCCAACTTCTCCTTATCATAAAAATTAGTAAGGACTTCTTTATCCCTCAGTAGTTGTTTTTTGAATATTGGACTGAAAAAGGCTTAATGTTGCGAATAGCCTGTGATTTAGGAAATAGAAACTTTTTTTTGAATTTAACCATTTATGTTGAAATATTTTAAAAATTTCTTACTATAGTTTATGAAAAAGTATATTTACTTTGAAAAAGAGATGGCAATTATGAGAACATTTGTCTTTAGTTAGTAGTTAAGGGTTTTAAACTTGGGTTAGTGAAAGCTACGAAAGGGTTTTTTATATGCCCTATTGACCCAGGAACCAGTGTATTGTGTTAATTAAGAATTTAATTCTTTTTTACTTTTTAGAACCTAATCCACCAATAGATCAAGTTATACAGAAACCAGGAGTTGTTCAGAGATTTGTGAAATTTCTTGAGAGAAATGAAAATTGCACTTTACAAGTAAGTCTAAATGCCTTTTATCATTCTCAATCTCTTTCTGGAAATGATGTATGGTTAAAGTTTCTAGTGGAAGCAACTTCTACAACACTGACTTTATCGTGCTTGGCAATTATGAGAAAAGAGTGCCTCCTGTATTTCCTTGGGCATGGTGTCAATACTAGTTTCTTCTAGGAACTGTTATTTTGTTAAGCAATTTGGGGAAAAGAATATAATATCATTTCTCGGGTTAATACAAAATTGTTAGTTGTCAACCTTTCTGTTTTAGAAAACGTCAAGCAAAATTGGTAATTAATGGTTACATTTATTTTGGATTTTAGCTATCCAGGCTTATATCTTTTACCCTTTAAAACATTTTTAGCTAGGGCCAGCAGATGACACAGTGATTAAGTCACTGGATCTCACATGGCTCACCACAGTTGGAATCCCAGACTCTTCGGCTTGAAACTCAGGCTGGGCGTGTGTGTATATGCCCAAAATTCTGAGGGAAGAAGGGAAGAGAAAGGATTACAGCATGACCATCCCTTTTTGGGGGGACAGGGAGATGATTTTTCACTTACTCTCTGTCTTTATTGAATGCAGATGCCCTGTGACAAAAAGTTAAAAGAAAAAAAAATGAGCTGATTGATTAGTTCTTGTTTGTTTCGTACATTTTTAATATAACAAATAATAAATTCATATATTCTACTGAAAAAGTGACTGAAGTTAGGTTTGTTCTAAAGAGCATTACTTCTCAGCTGTGATACAGCTATGGCCTTAAGATGTCTGCCAGATAATTTGCTACTAATGGGAAACTGCGGAAGTTTGCAAACTTTCTAATGTGAGACAAATTGAGATGTGCTAGCCCCTGTAGCATAGTGGCTAAGTGCTGTCCAGAGAGATCTAAATCCAGCATAGCCAACTGCTATTCAAACCCTGGCTCCAGGGGCTTGAAAATCATGCCACGTATGAGTTTGTATGTGCCCAATATTCTGAGGGGTGGAAAAATGAAGGAATAAAGATTGTGATGAGACCATACCCAATTGGGAGATGCTTTCTCTCTCTCTCTTTTTTTCCCCTTTCTATCAAGCACATATACCTTCTAGCAATTAAAACAAAAAGAATAAGATTTCTGTTATGAATATTCTTAAGAGTATAAGGTGGAATTAATGTCTGTATCAAGAATTGAACAAGACCTACATCTTACGTTTAACTTACCAGTACTTTTGTCAGTAATGGAGGACTGTTATTTGAACAGTTGTTGAATTTATGGCTAAGAGTACTGGGGCTACTTCTTTGAATTATTTCAAGAAAAGTTCTCACATGTTCAGTCTAAGTAAAGGAGTGCATTGCATATGTGGATGTGAAGATTTGTTGAGAATGTTTACAGTAAAGGTCTCTGGAGGAAAAGGCTACTTTATTTTTATTATAATTTTACTGTAAATTATTTAGGACTAATAATAATTGATCATGAGAATGAGTCCATTTCTTTTTTCTTTGGTGGGGGGAGGTTTTTGCTATAAGGCATGTACACTCGCCAGAAAGAGAGAGACAGAGAAACAGAAAGCGAGAAATCACCCCTCAGGGGGGATGGCCATGCCACAATCCCTTCTCCTCCATTCTCCTCCCAGGATCTTGGGCACGCATGCACATGTGCCCAGTGTGAGTTTAAGCTACCGGGTCCAGAGCTTGAACCGTGGTCGACGATGTGGAAGTCCAGCGACATAGCCATTACGCCAACTGCTGGTCCCGTGTCCATTTCTGTATATAAGTCATAACTCCAGACTTAAACCAGGCCTTCTGATACCTAGTTTATTATTTGGCTGTTTAATTCCAAGTGAGTGAACGAGGAAATGAGTGAATATGAATAAATGAATTATTAACTGCTAGTTTAGTCAAACATTATATAAGACATTATAGTTCCAAAATTAAGACATTTTCCTGTCCACAGTTCTTTACTCTCTATTGTGAAAGGCAGACATATAAATCGATTTGGGATAATATGGTATGCATAGTGCTATGATGGAACTGTAAACAAAGAACTCTGGAAATACAGAAAATGCAGCAACTTAGCAACTTATTCTATTTTTGAGGAAGACTTCATAAAAGTAGTGTAGAATTTACTAGTCTTGAAGATCAGGAAAATTCTGCAGATTAAAAAGAGGAAAACTATCATAATTTCAGGTTGGGAATTGCATGTACAGAAAGCATAGTGTATTTCATAACATTGTGAACTGGAGCATTTATTAGTCACTGTATTTATAACCTAATTTAACAATATGGTCTTGGGACAGCTGTATGCTATGACATGGTCCCAAATACAAATGGAATGTGCTATTCAAATTATTGGTCTGTCTTACTGATAAAGAGGCGTCAAACTGAAGACCCACAGGCTAAATTGGCCTACTAAGTTTTGTTTGGCCTGAACATGTCCTAAATCATTTGAATTAGATATCAGACTTTTAAAACTTAAATAATTTCAAATCAGTATCCAGGTTTTTGGCTTCTTTTGACAAATCTAAACAGTTGGAATTATTGCCACATTGTACAGATGAAATGGAGCTGAATAGTAACTGTACCTCTTTTTTTTTTATTAGAAAGTTCTTTCTTTTTTTTTTTTTCCTAATGATAGTCATATATTCCAGTTTTTCAGTTTCCACTAGCTTATATCATTTCTTTTATGTTCACTGTCTGTTGTCTGCTTGGTAGGTTTGTGAATTTATGTCTTCACTAATTGCTTCTCTTAGGGATCCAAGAAAAATGTTGCACAATTACCTTTTGGTTGTTCTTTAGCTAGTTTCATTATCTAAAATTGGTTAGGACTATGGTTACATTGTTTTACCATACAGATTCCTCCCTTAAATGTTTTCTTAATGGGCTCAGCCAGTGGCATGGAGGCTAAGGCTCTGGATTCCACATGGCTGGTTGTGAAGTTTGAATCCTGCACCCGGCAACTTGAAAATCACATTCGGCACATGTGCATGCATTCCTGAAATTTTAAGTGGAGAATGGAGGAGAATGGATTGCAGCGTGGTCATCCCCCCAGGGGGTGATTTCTCACTTTTTCTTTCTCTCTGTCTTTCTCTGGAAAGCGCACACAGGCTATAGCAAATATGGAATTAAAAAAATGTTTCTTAGTCTTGCACATAATATTAGCTGTACCTTTCAGTATTTCAATAATGCTTTGGGGTGCATTATTTATTAATCATAATGACATCTATCTTAACATCAAATGTTATCTACTTATGGGAGATAATTGTTTTAACTAAGGTTACTGCTTATTTTGACTGAATTTGTAGCTTATTTTCAATAATTTGCTAGTTTATTGTTTTGGAGTTATGAGTTGAATTTTCCCAGTTTCTTCTGGTATGAATGCATCATCTGTAAGTATAGCTGAATTTTAATTGATCAGTAATTTCTCAGATTCAGCTGCATGCGAGAACACTACAAATCCTAGTTCTAGCTCTACTAATAATGAACTCTTGATGTTGAAAAAATACCTAAATCAGAAAACTTCTAATTTTCTGGTTTGTTACATGAGGAGGTTGCTGTTATATGATCCACAGGGAAACAAAAGTCCTTTTGTGATTCTAAGTTCCCTGAATATAATAATGTTCTATTAAGTAGCATCTCTGATTTATCTTTAAACCACTTGATTTAGAACACCTGACTCTCTAATAGGGAACATCAGGAGTTTTAAGAGTTATAAACTCAGATACGTTTTTATGTGATGGGTCTTGAGAAGGGTAATGGAAAAAAATCTGTCTTATGAAGTAACTATGTATGAATATGAAAATTTTTTGCACCACAATAAACTCATACTCCATTTTTAAATGAACTTTAGAAGCTCCTGATATTGTTGATCTGTACATTTTATTTTATTTTTTTGGAGAGCTTTTTACTGTAGGGTACGTGCGCTCACTAGAAAGACAGAGACAGAGAGACAGAAAGCGAGAAATCACCCCCTGGGGGCATGTGCACCCCACAATCCCTTCTCCTCCATTCTCCTTTAGGGATCTTGGGCCCGCATGCACCCCCGCCCAACATGAGTTTAAGCCACTGAGTCCAGAACTCGAACCATGGTCGACTACATGGGAGCCCAGCAACATAGCCATTACACCAACTGCTGGTACCGATTTATAAATTTTTATTATATTCCTTCTAGTTCTTCCTTAGATTGGAAGTGGCTCCCCATTTTTTTTTTTTTTTTTGCCTTAGGTTATGTGGACTATCCAGAAATAGATGAAAGAAAGTAGAAAACACTCCTCAAGGGGGAGGGTCATGTCCCAATCTCTCTTCCTCCATTCTTTTATCAGGATTCTGGGCATGCACATAAATGTGCCGAGCATGATTTCTGGGCTGCCTGGTCTGGGACTTGAACTGTAGTTGGCCATGTGGGAATTCAGCACCTTAACCACCACACCACTTTTGGCTCCAAAAAGTACTTTTTCACAATGAATCTTACTGATCATAAGTCATTCTTTCTTTTAGACTTGTTTAGCTAAGTCTTTATTTCCTCTCTTCTTCGCCTTTCTGCTATTTGTTTAGTGCTTTCACTTATTTCACTGTTTTCCTCCTTAGTTTGAAGCTGCATGGGCATTAACTAATATAGCATCTGGAACTTTCCTGCATACCAAGGTAGTGATTGAAACTGGGGCAGTTCCAATTTTTATCAAACTTCTTAATTCAGAACATGAAGATGTGCAGGAACAGGTAAGTTTGTAATTTGGACTGTGACATACAGTAGATTTTAATTTTCTCTTGAAAGTACCATTGTGATTATGATTTGTAATTCATTTTTGCGCTTAGTTACTCTTACATTGCATTTATTAAAATACAGTAATTTCTTTTCAGTGTCAATTTGGAAGACAGATGAATAATCCTAGGTTCTCTATAACTCTGATCTCTACTACCATAAAAATTCCTAATCCTATTTATAAAAGAGCATATTGCAATTTAGGAAAGTTATTAACTTATCCAGGGTCATAATGAATAGCTGGACCAGGTTTTATTGTATGTTAGGTTTTAGCCATAGGAAGTTTGCCAGAGAGATACAGAAAGAGAGTGAGAAATATCACCCCCTGTAGGATGGCAGTGCTGCAATCCCTGCTTCTTCACTCTTCTCTCAGGATTTTGGGTATGCATATACCCATGCTCAGTGTGATTTTCAAGCTTCCGGGTTTAGGACTTGAACAGATGTGGGAGTCCAGCACCTTAATCATCACGCCACCTGCTGGCCCCACTAAACTAGGTTTTAAATCTGGGCCAGTCTGACTCTTTATTCTCTGCCTAAGTGGGGATTATTTTGTTGTTTCTTTTAAAATATCATATTACTTTAAATTGAGTTATTTAAAAATAAACATTATGAATACATTTTAAAGTTTTGTTGTAAGAGCAAAAAATGAGTCACACAATTATACCATCTAAAAAAGTATTTTGGCATTTTTGTTTTTTATCATTTTTATGTAATTAACCTGTTGATCTCTTTATCATTCCTTTCATTGTTTAGTGTTACATCATGTGTTTTTTTCTTAACACTGATATTGGGAGCCATTTGTTATAATATTAATTATTCTTCCAAGAAAATTTTACTAGTTAATCAGTTGTACATTTGGGTTATTTCTAGCTTATTAGTATTAATAATATTGTGATGAACATCATTATATATCACTTGTGCACCTCTTGGTTATACCATGAGGGAAAATGACTACCCTGTCAAAAGATACATTTCTTAAGACTATTATTAAAATTTTTATAGTTCTGCAAAAGGTTACACCAATTGATATTCCTGGTAGAAAATGTACTTTAAAAGTTTTTCTTGGGGGGACCAGCAGTTGGCCTAATGGCTGGGTCGCTGTACTCCCATGTAGTCGACCACGGTTCAAGTCCCAAACCTGGTGGCTTAAACTCAGGCTGGGTGTGTGTGCATGCGTGCCCAAGATACTGAGAAGTGAATGGAAGAGAAGGGATTGTGGTGTGACCATCCTCCCTGTGGGGTGATTTCTTGCTTTCTGTCTCTTTCTGTCTTTCTGGCGAGCATACGTACCCTATAGTAAAAACTTCTCCAAAAAAAAAAAGTTTTTTTTGGGTCCAGCAGTTGGCATAATGACTATGTTGATGGACTTCCATGTAGTTGACCGCAGTTCGAGTCCCAACCCTGGTGTCTTAAACTCACACTGGGCACGTGTGCGTGCATGCCCAAGATCCCAAGAGGAGAATGGAGGAGAAGGGATTGCAGCATGTCCATCCCCTCTGGGGGTTGATTTCTCGCTTTCTGTCTCTCTGTCTTTATGGCAAGCACACGCACCCTGTGGCCAAAAAAAAACGTCCTCCCCAAAAAAAGTTTTTCTTAAAAAAAAAAAAAAAAAAAAAAAACTCAGGTCTAAAGTAAATGTTAAAAATATTAACTCATGTTTAATTGTTAGAATGTTTCCAGCTGAAAAAGTAGCATGTCTACTTTTGTATTTACATGAAGATTTTGAAATGAGAATATAATAAAGCTATCATTTGCATTTGTGTGATTTCTCATGTAACTAAAATTCAGTAAGCAAATAATTTCATTTTTATTACCACTTATTTTAAAAATTACAATGAACTCTGACTTAACATTTTTTGAGGGATCAGTCTAAGCTAGTTTTTGTATTAGCTATTACCTCATTTTTCTGTGCCTTTTCCCTTTGTCCCTTCCCATTTTATAAATCTGGTTCCCCCCTCCCCCCAGTGAGTAGATTTCCTGTCATAGCAGCACACCTCTAGGGTAAGTACAGGTTGAGCATCACTAATTCAGAACTCTGAAATCTGAATTGCTTTAAAATTCCAAAAACTTTTTGAGTGAGTGCCAATATGGCACCACAAGTGGAAAATTTCACACCTGATCTTATGTGATGGATCACAGATAAAATGTTATAACACAGTGGCCTAGACCGGTGGCATAATCATTGGTGAGCTGAACTGCAGTGCTGGAAGCCACAACTGGTTCAGATTCCTTTAGTCAGCCTGGAAACGCACTGATGAGCTGGAGGGCTGGGAAAAAAGGATTGCAATGTGATGGAACTTTGTGAGGATGTGGCTTCTCTTGCATGCTCTTCATGAGATATCTACCATGAATAAAATAAAAATGGAAAGAACACTGTAACATACAAATATTGTGTGAAATTACTGTCAGGCCATGTGTATAAGGTGTATGTGAAACATAAGTAAATTTTTTGTTTATATTTGGCTTCTATCCCCATAATATCTCATTACATATATGCAAATATTCCAAAATCTGAAATCTGAAATACACCTGATCCCAAGCATTTTGAATAAGGGATACTCAACCTGTAGTTGGAAAGTTCACTAAATATCCATATAGATTCAGAATTGAAAAACTATGCTCTTCTTGGTAGATTATAGATATCTTATGGAAAGAAACTTTTTAAATACCCTGTTTTTTAGAATTATTATTAAATTTCCTATTAAGTTTTCCTTTCTTACTGCCCTGTTTTTTTTAACATGTTATTGAACACTATCATTTTGATCTTTCAGTCCTAAAATCTTGTTAAGAGAGAACATTTTATTAAAGATATTGTCTCGAGATTTTTTTTTTTATTTTTCTAAGGCTGTTTGGGCGCTTGGTAATATTGCTGGTGACAATGCAGAATGCAGAGATTTTGTTTTGAATTGTGAAATACTTCCACCTCTTTTAGAGTAAGTATTTTGTTTAAGTTTATCACAATCAGATAAATACTACTTTTAGAAAAGAAAACTATATATTCCAATATTTCTGCATACATAATGAAGTTCTTCAGTGGTACTTTTAAATTTGGCTTACGGTTAGCCATGCCTACAGTAGCCTCAAAGTACGTAAAAAAAAAAAAAAACAGGAAAAATTTTCAATTTTTATTGGGTCCATGTCTTTTATGTTCCCTTCAACCATACTTAATAATAGTCATTGCCTATGCTTATTGTACCCAAACAGTTATTCTACAAAAATAGTAGTAGTTTATAATAAAATAAAATTCAAATGTTTCTATAGTGGGGAATATTTAATATTTGAACTGATGGTGTTTTCAGGATATAGGTAGGTTTTTATGTTTGATATTGAAATGTTCGGACAACAAAGATCATAAGAGATTTTTCTGTAGGACTATAAGTTTTACTCAGTGATTTATATAGTGTTTTTTTCTTAAACTAATTTACACTTTTTTTTGAGAGAGGGAGAGCTTTTTGCTATAGGGTAAGTACACTTGCCAGAGATAGAGAGAGAGAGGGAGAGACAGAAAATGAGAAATCAACCCCCAAGGATGGCCATGCCGAAATCCCTTCTCTTTCATTCACCTCTTGGGATTTTGGGCATGCATCCATGCACGTGTGCCTGGTGTGAATTTTAAGCTACCAGGTCCGAAACTCAAACCATGGTCAACTATATCGCGGTGCTGTGATGTAACCATTACACCATCTGCTGGTCCCATACATTTTTTATAAAGAAATGATAAGGTTCTTTACAGAAGTGACAAAATTATATGAAAGTAAGTTTCTTTATACAAGTTGTTTAAATAAAGAGGATCTTTATTTAAGCTGAAAGTCAATAGCAAATAGTGGGGAAAAAGCTAATTGAGGAGATAGTGATTAGAAAAAATTTTACTCTGTAATTTCTGTCATTCTCCAGATTATCAATTGCATAGGAAAATAAATATCTGGAGCTAGTTTGCAAGATATTTTACTTCCTTAGAGAAAGTATCTTTCTGTGGAAAGAAGTGATTTCTTAGCATGACTTTGTTGAACTGACATTAATTGAGGACTAACTGTGCAGGCTACTGAACCCACTGTCTATAATTTCATTAAGTCTGGACATGTCCACAGTTAAAGTCCTGTGAGATTTGAAAATTTTACTAAGGTATGAAAGAAAAAACTTATTTAGAATTTATTATCAGAGTCCTTTTGAAGTCTATAATATTAAAAGCAACCCTTATTGCTCCAATTTGAGACTTTTCTGAGTTGATTCTATGATTTATAGATTAAAGTCAGCAGCTTCTCTTGACTTTTGGTTTTCTGTCTTTAGATCATTTTGTTATTTTGTTACTATCTCAAGTGGGCAATGGTTTATCAAATAGTGTTTTGTAGGTCTAGTCCCTATAAGTCCTAAGGAGCTTAGAAACTTTTAAATCATGACTGAAGAAAACAAACTGACAAGTAAAACTAGTAGAGAACAACAGTACCCAGCTTTGTAGTACTAGTTATAAAAATAATCTCAGAAAATGGTGTTAGACAGTTGGAAAATTGCAATGATTCATTGTGGAGTTTTCTTAGAGAGTTTTAAAGTTTCATTAAAAAAATAGGGAGAGGTGGGAACCAGCAGTTAGCGTAATGGCTATGTCACTGGACTCCCACGTTTCGCATCCCAGACCCAGTGGCTTAAAACTCATGCTGGGTGCGTGTGCGTGCGTGCCCAAGATCCCGAGAGGAGAATGGAGGAGAAGGGATTGCGGCGTGACCATCCCCCCTGGGGGGGTGATTTCTCGCTTTCTGTCTCTCTGTCTCTCTCTGTCTGTCTGGCGAGCGCACACGCC